TTATTCGTTACTTTCAGATCCCTGGCGATGAAGTTGCTAAGAATATATTACCTTATTCACTAATTCTTGAAAAAAAATTATTGGAGGGTATAATCCAATCGCATGGAATAGTTCTGCTTTAGGTTATGCTAGTTGCAATGAAAGCTTTATTTTCTCATTAAAAAATAAAGCTGTTCAAAATTCTATTTTAGCCGTGTACAAAAATCACAATATGCACTTTATTTTCAAACAGATCGAGCTGCATGTTTCGGCGGTTGTGATATTCAGTTGCTAACTAGTGGAAATAATAATTGCCATTGCAGTCGTCATGCATATGAAGCAATTACTGAAAATCCTTACACTTTTATTGTAATTGAATATGAAAGTCTTCCGGATTAATAAAAAGTCCAAATAATATTTTATTTAAAATTTTTAATAAATATTAAACGATTATAATGCTCAAAATCATTAAATTTGTAAGGATTATTTGTCACATTATACGCATTGGTCCTCTTATCAATCCATGAAGCAATTTCTGCAGCATGTTCTTCATTGATAACGGTCGAAAATGGTTCAGTCGATCTGTTTGGTAAAACTGGTACAGAAATAATACGAGGCGGCAGGATTGTTGATGAAATATGATAATTAGGAGACATATGTTTGCTTGCCAGATCTTTCCAAAGATTTTTTTCAAGAATTAGTGAATAAGGTAATATATTCTTAGCAACTTCATCGCCAGGGATCTGAAAGTAACGAATAAGAGGTAGACAATTTTGTAGAGTCGTCTTTAAAGTCATAAAATTTTCGTAGGACCAATTTTCAATATCTGAAGGTAAGGTTGGATTTTGCGCAATTCCCCATTCAATGACATGATTCCAAATTTTTATTTCTTCCATTTGCAAATCGTCACGATTAATAAGTGAAATTAATGCGTCTTCTTTTAGGGAAATAAATTCTTCAGAATCAAAAACGAGATTTGGATATTTTGCCACAATATTGTTACACCATTTCTGTAACTCTTTAAGTTTGTTATTCTGTGTACAAGATTTATAAACATACGCAAAGTGAGAACGTAACCAATGAGCATTTTTTTCGATTAAATGAGTCTCAAGATTTTCCACTAATTCATCTAAAAGAAGCACATCAGCAGCTAGGATGAGATTAAAAATAAACTGCCCATTAAGATTTTCTAGCGAAGCAAAACCTCCATAGATATACCTATTTTATTATTACAGATGTTAAAACTTTTGTTATAAACGAATTAAACAAAAAAATAAAAAAATAAAAGTAACAATTACTTGATAATAATTTCAAATTGCGCGATGGGTACTTGTTTTAAATCAATTCTTGTAATATTATTTGTATCTTTAACAGCGTTTGCTAATTCGTTACGAAAATACAATGACCTATATTTTAAAATATTTGAATGTGCCTTAAATTCCTTTACGTCTGGAGCATTTCCTACTTTAATGATCACATTAAAATCTTCCCCGTTCTCTAAAAGTTCAATGTAATTATTTGAAAGTTTTTCAAAAAGTTTGATTGCCATTTTTCAATAGTTTTGTAATACAAATGTTTGTATTTATTCATGTTTGACGCCTAATGTTGCACTTGCATGATATTTAGGGTGGGTGTGATGCTAAATCATCACATAGAAATTATAATTATTCTTACGTGATCGTTATGCCGTGCCCACGTGATGATTTTCCGCCTAATGATATTACCGCCTAATTTCAATCAGGCACAGAAATTCTGGTATTCAAACGTGCCATGCAACTGTATTTACATGATATCTAGAATGTAAGAACTTTAAAACGTGAAATAGAACTAGTTATATAATAATAAAAATGTTTAAAAGCGTTAAGCAAACATTACTATAAGACTTTTATAAAAAACTTAGGAAGAGAATAAATCTACAGAATTAATATATATCAATTAAGTGATTTTAACCCCTTATTTAGGTATATATAATAATTGAATATAAAAGAAAACTGACTAATAATACTAATTTAGCCATTTATTACACGGGTTTTATGCAACTACCTGTGCTTTTTTCATTCGTTTACAGCACGTGTTTAAAAAAATAACTAAATCGAAACATTTCTGTATTTATCAAATATGAAGGTTTTCGATCTAGTTAATTTATTTTTATTAAATTAATTTGCCTTCACAACATTAAGTCCATATCAGTCTGTTTTCGTTTTCTTTAAAGTTACCTTGCTTTGATCATAATGAGTCTTTCTTTAAAATCTTATTGAATGGAGTAAGGCGTTATTAGGTCTTCGCTTCTTAAATTCTTATTAAACAGAATTGCACATTTTTAGATTTTGCTTTTTTAAAAATTCTTATCGCTTTCGTTAAAATTCTTACCCCACAGAATTACACGGTATTAGATTTTACTTAAAACACTTTTGGACGAAGTTGCACGTTATTAAGTTTTCACATTCTTTAAATTTTTGTTAGGTTGAGTCATACATTATTGAGTTTCCTCTTTATAATTCTTAGTATACAGAATCACACATAATTAGATCTTTGTTTCTTTTTAAATCCTTATTGGACGGTTTACATTTTTAAGTCTTCATTTTATATATTTCTATAATATAATTATTATATGGGATGGTATAAAATAACTAAGTTTACAAAAGGTTAACCCTTTTCACTTGGCCGAAAGCCATGTGGGACTGGTTAACACGTGCATTTTAGCTATTTTATACAATCTATACAATAACTATAAACCAAAATTCAGATTTATATATTTTAAAGTTGCATTACTTATTTAATATGGTCAAATACATATGATAGTAAAAATGCAGGACGATAACTTATATAGTATAAAATTTCAAACTAAATACCGTTAATGTCAATTGAAATTCTTTTAGCATTAATTATTTTGCTAGTATACATAATTTCTGGAACTTCGGTAAGTTAATTAGCAATGTTTAATTACTTTATCAACATCTAAAATTCCACTTTTAATTTTATTGTAATCCATTTTATCTATATCATCATTTGTATTATTCAGATTATTATCATTATAGTTTGCCCTCGTTATAATGAACATCCACTATAGCGTTATTTAGTATAATAATAAAAATTTTAAATTGTTACAAACAATTACTCCGTTATAACGAGATATTCGCTATAACAGAGTCCGTTCATCTACGTCAGCATTATTATTTTTAGTCCATAGTTTCGTCCGCATTCTTTTCACTATTATTACTATTTATAGCTATTTCATTTGTATTATTATCAACAACTTCATTTGAATCATTCGAATTTTCCATAATATAATTCCATTCTTTTATTGTGTGAGCTAGGCGCAAGAAGAGGAAATTGACAAATTTTTTAAAATTAATTTTTTTACATAAATTGATTTAAAATAAGATCAGAATCATTTTCACTTAAGACACAAAAGTAGTTGCATTAATAAAAATTTGCAGTATAGCTTTTCAAAAATTGCAATTTCTTATAAAATCTATAATATAAAACTTGATATTGTGGTTAATTTTCTTTTTTGCAGCACTTAGCCTATATAATTAATATCTTTAGCAGTAGGTCATTTTGTAAATTCTAATTAATACATTGTCTTGCAAATTTAATGCAACAATTTGAAAATCTTGTTAATTTAATAAAAAATTAAAAAAATTAATTATATCTAAATACTTTTAATAGATTAAGATTTTTACAAATTATTTTTATCTATTAACCTGGTTTTAAATAAGAATTTAATTATATTATTAGAATATTTTATATTTTATAAAAGTTTATAAGCAATAAATTATTTAGAGGTTTGAGTTCATAGCTTATTGGTTAAGCTCCCAAACTCCTACAGATAAGGTCAATAGTTTGAGTCAGGCTAGAAACAAACTTGTATTTGTTTTTATATCTAGAAGAGATATAAAGTCCTATAAAAGTCAAATATTATTCAAATCTAAATGAGAAATTTTTAGAAGAAGCCCCAATTATAAAATGCAGACACTATATATAATAGTAACATTACAAAAAGTTTAGGTTGTAGAAGATTGCATATATAAGTTCTTTAGTTGAAGTAACCTAAAAACAACACAAGCAACTCTTTATACTCACTTTAGATAACACCAACATCTACCCAACTTATGAGATACTTGCTTGAAAGGATAATTAACAAATTGTGTATATAAGTTCTAATTTAGAATAATGTTAGGTACTTGCTTAAAAGAATAATATGATATTACCAAAACTAGAATAGTATATATAGCACATAACTTGTTATTCTAGAAGCTAAGTAACAAGAAACTAGTTGTATAGTAATAGCAAATTTTGGCTTGAAATATGGGCTAGTAGTATCTAACAAATAAACATAAGGAATTATCTAACAATAAAATATCAACTTTGTTATATAGAAATTTAACTAAATAGCAAAGCTGGCTTGAGATACAAGTTCAACTAAAAATATACTTATATACTTGCAGCAAGGTGCTATAGATAAATATAAAAATACTTAATAGAAATAAAGTAATATATAAAACTAGACTAGCTATTTGCAAAGTATAAAAAGTTTTAATAAATTTAGGTTGTAAATAAATTAGTATAAGTCTCTGTAGTTTATTGAAAGTTAATTGTCCGGAGCGTAGCAACGGACGCTCAATTTTTATGCACTATGTGATACAAAAGTTGTGTTTTTGATGCATTTTTGATCATGAATTTTTTTTTGATGCATCCCCTAATTTATTATAAACAAATATGTTAATAATGTACAAATACTCGACAAAATCTAATGGATCATAAATTAAAATTCAAGATCAAATATGACATAATGCAAAATATATCCAAACTTTAACCTTATTGATGGTAGCGAAATGTTCTTAGATTGGCAATACTGGGCCCTATATTTAAGATAAAGTGCAATGTAGTACGACCTGAAACATTCAAAACAAACGTCCGCTTTATCGAAATCTCTTATTTCCCCTAAGAAACCACTTTTAGTTCTTTAATAAAAAGTTTCCTGAGTGATTTTACTATAAGCTTTGTTAACACTTAACTCTAATACAAACACTAGTCTTAATACTAATGAACTTTAAAGAATTTTGTATGCGGCATAACCCTATAAAAAAAACACACAGAAAATGCAATTTTTTATAGAAAATATACAGTAAGGTACAGTAGATATAGAAAATATGCCAAAAACTGCAACGACTAAAAAATATGCTGTTGTAATATTTGGCATGTTTTCTATATGTTTCCTATATACTCTATATGTGACTTGCATATTCTTATGCTTACTATATGCTTTCTATATGATTTTTTTATAGGGTAAATCTGATCCATGTATTATTAGGGATGGACCACTGCGCAAGTTGTAGAATTGTCAAGAGGCTGCGCAGTAAATTTAAAAATACTCAATTTTCTTACCCCTATATAAAGTATATATCATTAATCAATTAATTATAAAGTGGGATTTAATTTTCATATTTCATTTCAATAAATATTATAGATGTGCCCTTTTAGTTTATTTTGGGCATTAGAAGAGGAAAATCTACACCCGTTAATATGCCTATTGAGGAGAACTTTGTCCTGAAAGCATATTTCAAGCTTGTGATCATGCAGTTAGAGAAAAGTCCAAAATAGTATTTGGCTATAGACAAATATGCAGTATATGCCACTATATGAATATGTGAATCATCCAAAGAAACAATACCATTTAAAAAAGCTATCAAAGAGCTTAGGAACTATTTCAGCATAGAAGAAACTCGTATCTGGTAGATTCCGAAATCATTGCTACACAAACTATTTATATGGACAATTGAAGATTTGATATATCATTGTAGTCTAAAAACCGGCAATTTCACTATCCGCTTACCCATAATAAGTTAAACTAAAGATATCCATGTTTATTAATAAAATTTCTTCGTTTAGAGTGTTTCTAGTAGAAAATCTTTTCTAATCGTTTTCAATCGCTTTCCTCATGGAGTTTTCATAAGACTAAAGGTAAACGTTTGGTAATTGGCAGAGTTCATTGAGTTTCTACTACGTTTAAATTATTAAGCCAAATCTTAAATTTATAAATGTTAAAACGCGAAGGTTATACTAATATAAGATTTTACACATTTATTAAATAGGCCAAGCAATATAAAGCTTTTAACAAGGGTTATTTCAGTATTTACTTGAACAAAGAACATATATGTCACGTAGTTAGACAGTAACCGTGGTCACTGTTATCTTGCTCAAACAGTACTTCAACTTTAGGTCTTGCTTGGCTTCAACACACCTTCTAACCAACACTTTTCAGGTAAGGATAACACACACTTTATTACGTTATTCACATTAACCGGTCAAAAGACTGACCTTCGCTTTTTATTTATTTCTTCTATTTATATTAATTTTCTATTATACTACTTTGTACAACTCTGATTATTAATATACTATGACTCACTTCCTTATACTTTACATTGCATTTCAACAAACTCTTAAATTTTACTAATTTAATCGGCATTGACTCGTGATCAACGATCACGGTACCCCACATACCCGATCTTCATAATACCGCCCAACATTACCACGTCGATCATAATTTTGGTCAATCCCATCATCACGTGATATGTTCGTTACATCTTTCGCTCTACCATTTCGATCCTTATTAACCACTTTATTACAAGCTTCGTTATCGATTAACATTCCTCGTACTAAGTACAAGGGTTCCCCAAAAACTATGCGACAGGAGCTGGACCCCCATAGGTCCTCGTCCTCGAGACCCACTTCACCTTCGCTCTCTTGTTCGTTATTTTGTTTCAAAGATCCTTCATTCCAGGTAAATAGTTTTTTTACTCTAATTCTTGTTATCGGATCACGCAATTCACTACCATCCAACTCATTTACATACACTTGACCATGCCTTCCAATTTTTCGAACTTTATAGGGTCCCATCCATCGATAGTCAAGTTTTTGGAGTGATGTCTCCAACGTTGAATCGTATACTAACACCAAGTCACCAACAAGGTATGTTTCCTTTACTTTTGCCTTTCGATCATGTATTTCTTTCTACTTTTGCCTAATTTCATTCTTTTCTAACTGTGTGTTTCTTAAATCTTCTCTCATTCCTTTTATTTGCTTCATTCGATACTCCAATAATTCATCGGTTGTCCATTCTTTTCTTGCGACGTAAGCCTGGTAACTTTCTAACATCAATTGAACTGGTGTCACCGCATCACGCCCATAAACCAAATGGAAAGGTGAGTACCTCAGGTCATTTACTGTAATGTTTATTGCCCATATCGCATTTCTAATATATTCATGCCATTTGTTTTGTCTTTTTGCACACAATTTTCTGATGATTCTGGTGAATTTTTGCATGGTTCTTTCCGCTCGACCATTTGCCTCTGGGTGGTAGCTCGCTACAAATCACTGATCAATGTTCAACCTAGTTGACAACTCTGCCAACACGGTATTCTTAAACTCTGTTCTCCTATCCGAGACCAAGACGGCAAAACATCCATGTCGCGTGATTACTTCATCCCATATGAATTGTGCTATCGCATTTGCATTCTTTCTTCTCAACGCCTTTCCTTCCACATAGCCCGTCAACTCTTCAACAGCCAACACCACATGTTCATGTCCACCAGTAGTTCTTGGCAATGGCCCCAAACAGTCTATGTATAATTTTGAAATATCCAGTTTGTTGCGGTCACGTGAATCAGCTCTTTTATTGATTTTGTGGCACATTTTTGATACTTAATACATGATTTGACATATTTTGCAGCATCATTATACACACTTCCAGATCCTCAACTATAATTCATCAATACCTTTCTCGCAGTTCCATTTATACCTCGATGTCCTTCTTCTTCAGCTGTTTCCACATGATTCGCTGCTATAATGTCATATTTCTCCTTGCTGTTGAAAATAACACGCTTCGGTGGAACACCATCCTTCAATCTCTTGTACAAGTTGTCTCCGATGACACAATATCGCTTCATTTTATGCTGTAGACACAGTAAGTCAATTTCTTTTACATCACGGGGCCACGCAAAGTTTTCCAGGAAATTCTTTATCCACAACAGATCTTTTACCTTGTCGTCGAACATATCAACATGCATGATCATTCCATCAACAAAATTCCTTATCATTCACCGTCTCATTTAATCTTTCTTTCGGATATCTAGACATCCCATCGGCATTTCCATGCCTCTTTCCATTTTTGTAGCACACCTTGAACTCAAAGGCTTGTAATGCCAGAACCCAACGCATCAACCTTCCTTTTAGCTCAGCTTTATTGAACAGCCATTCGAGCACTTGATGGTCGACCCAAACATTAAAAATCGTTCCTCCAACATAGCGTTCATTTACATTACATCCAAAAACGATCGCTAAACATTCCTTTTCTGTGACCGTGTAGTTCAACTCATGCTTGTTCAATTTTCTAGAATCGAAGGTTAACGGTCTCAAATTTCCATCTCCATCGTCTTGTTCTAAGACAGCTCCAACGGAAACGTCGCACGCGTTTGTGTACAATTGGTATAGTCTTTGTCCTTTCTTCGCTCTTTCCCAATCGGGTCCTTTTAATATGACCTCCTCCAGAAGTATCCTTTTTAGTGTCTCAAATGAATCCTTTTGTTCCTTTCCTCATACAAACTTACTATCTTTCTTCATTAAATCGGTTATCGGCCTAGCAATCTTACTAAAGTTTCTTATGAAACGACGATAATATCTGACCGTTCCATGAAACGACCTTACTTCACTTTGATTTTTCAGTTCGGGCCATTGTTGTATTCTTTTTACCTCTTTTCGTCCACCTTTATTCCACTTCTACTTACTACGAACCCGTATATACTTAATTCCTTATAACCGACATAACATTTTTTTTGCAGCAAATGTTAACCCAGCTTTTTCAAATGTTTTTGCCAGCTTTATGAACACATCAATGTGCTCTTTCAAATCACCATCGGTCCAAAGACCCACGTCATCTTGATACGCTGCGGCTATACCTTTCGATTCGTTCCCTTTAAAAACCAAATCCATCAGCCGCTGAAAAGTTTCACTGGCATTTTTCAATCCCATGCACATCACGGTGTATCATAGAACCCCAACATCATCGACACAGCCACCTTATCTCAGTCTTTCTCATATATTCGAATTTGCCAATATCCTTTGAAGGCGTCGACACTTGAATACCATTTGTGGTCTACAGCCTTTTCTAGTATATCTTTGATGATTAGGAGTGAGTAACTATCCTTTATTATGTGCTTATTCAATGGTCTCATATTGCCCACAGCTCGTATTTGATCGGTTCCACCTTCCTTTTTTTATACTGGAAAGCAATGATAGGCATAGGGTCTATTTCCTTCTTCTAACAAACCATATTGGATCATTTCCTTTAAATGTTCTTCAAATAACAGCGTCTTTTCTGGATTATTTATTCTCACTGGCCTTAATCTCATATGTGGCACTTCTATATCACCTGTCCTCACCTCGTATTCTACTAAATCGGTTCGACCCAATTTTGACAATTTGAAGGCAAACGTTTTTGATACCTCATTTATCAACTGGCTCATTACATACTGCTTTTCTTCTGTCGAGAGATCAGGCCCAAAATTCAATAAGTGGATATTTTCTTATATCAATCTTCGTAAGAACGTCAGCTCCGTCAATTCAAGTTGTTCTTCGACTTTTCGTAACTGCAAATCACGTGCTTCATTCCAATTTCTATGGTCTCCTTTTTCTTTATTCTTTACTAGCACTTTCCGGTTATAATCGATTATTTGGAACCTTCTTACAGCTGTTACTTGATTTATTTCATCATCCTCGTCATCATAGTTGTCTGATTCATCATCTTTATCTTTATTCTTTTCAACACATTTCTGCGGCACAACCGAAACAATGAACGATGATTGTCTATCCGACGATGAAATCGAGCACCAGTATTCGTTCTTTTTTTAGTAAAGATTACATTGCGCAGAGGCCAGCCAAGGCATTCTTAAGAGGACATCAAAACTTGCGGACTCCATTATATAAAATCCTTGGTTCGTCACCACGCCTTCCATTTCCACCTTGACTTGAGGTATGTAGCCTATGAATTCACTTATTCTATCGTCGGCTATTCTTCCTTTTCCGTAAGCATGTTCCCAAATCAACACTCTTTTCTTTGCATAATTTATATGCATCAGATTTAGACGAGATCCGGGATCAATTGGTACATTAACAAGATCTCCATTTATTAACACAGGCCAAACAGGTACTATTTCACTCATAGTTTCTTGCATTTTATTACCCTTAACTAACCACAACCTTACATCAACGTTAGTTACATCGATTTCCTTCTTTTTGCATATTAACGCTTTCATTATCTCACTTCTCGCCTTGGGCGACCATTTAAATAATTGCTCAAGTGAAATGGTAAGTTTGAGATCAGCCACGGCCTTAATAACGTCAAGGTTTTCTGCCATATCAGTTATTGGTATATACATCGTTGATTCCTTAACCCTTTCATTTTGACTAGATGATGCCACTAGTTCACTTTGCTTTGGCTCCAACATTTTACAGGTCCTTCCTCTTTTGTTTGCTACATCACCACCTACATTGTCTTGCTTC